TTCATTGTCTACCAAATTACGTCCAAATTTCTAAACCTACAAAGCAGGATTGTAATCAATGACCTGCTCCAATGTACCTACCCAATCAATGTAGCCAAATTTATTTTCCATGTTCCCGGTCATATTCCTTTCTCTGCAGCTTCCATCTGTATGTAAGTTAGAAGCAAATGACTTCACTAAAAATATTAGAAATGTAATTAGAAATTTATGCAACAACTTTATTTCCCATAAAACACTGTGGCATGGTTGGGCAAAATCCTCTGCTAAATTCTTTTGCTCTCCAATTTTCTGACATACCAGGGACTTGCGAACTGTTAAGACTCTGTTGGTGAAATAAGTTCATAACCAATTTAGTCTTGGTGATGAAACCCACTGGTACTTAACTAAGGACTCTTCAGGAAATCGTGAAGCAAGCCTGAGTGTCCCCAGGGCTAAGAGCCTGCTGACTCAGCTGTGGGATGCTCCTGAGGCTGGTGGACAACAATCAAAACCACAGTGATCAAAGTATTTTGCCTAAATCTGGGTCAACACTGATATCTGAGAAAACCGGATATGGCTGCCTAAAATTCCAGTGAGTGACAATGTCACTGTAGGTATTGTTATGGCCAGTTCTGTGGAACAAAGCACTAATCAGTCTCTGGGGGACACTGAGAGCATCCAGTCCCTGGGGAGAAATACTTAGAGAAGAAAGGAAATTGGTTTGGATTTTGGCCAGTTGGGCTGAGCTTTAGGGCAGAGCTTCCATCTGGTTGTGCAAACTGGAAGAATGTGGAACAGAGGCTCATTAGGTAGATGAGGCAACTGTAATGGACACTGCAGGACAGGCCACAGGAGGGCACGTGTGTGTTCTAGAGTAGTGCATCTCAAACATCAGCAAGCATAGGGATGATGTGGGAAGCTTGTCAAAATGTAGGATGCTGGGTTCCACCCGAGGAGATTCTGACTCAGGTCTGATGGCGGGTCTGACAGCAGGGCCAGAATGTGCACATAGAACAAGTTCCCGAGTAAAACATCATTTAGAACAACTATCAGATTTGTGGAACAAAACTAATTCCAGCTCCCACCCACCACTGAGACAGGATATTTAATGTGCTGCCAGCCTTGGTCAAATTTAGTTTAGGAACTCGTGTGGGCTGAATACACAGGGTGAGGACATCAATTCCTGCCTCACGAAGTAGCAAATGCCAGTGAAAAGGACAGCCCACTACTCTGCGTAGTTGTCACAATCGAATGGAGAGCCTTGTCCCTACAGTCCTAACCTGCTCCCTAGAGGTCGCATGTGAGGTTTCCTTGAGGGTAGTTTGCTGACATTTTTAGGAAGTTCACCAGAGAATTTGCCTAAACTAGTCATTTATAACCTGGGATGATTTTGCACACCAGGGGCCACATCTAGTGGGGAGAGCCCAGGGGTGCTGCTACAGGTTCTGCAACAGACATGATGGGTCCCACAACAGAGAATTATCCTGCCCAAAATGTCAATAGTGCTGAGACAGAGAAGCTCCATCTAGAATGATATCAAATGGAGGTGGAATTTGCACTTGGGTTTTACATTAGGTTACACAGGGCATTAGAAGGAGATTTTATTCTGCAAATAAAACTGAGAAGCATTTAAACAACAATAACAAAAAGGACAACTGATAAATGTGTTGAGGGAGGAAGGAAATCGTGAATGAAGTCAGGTTGAAGGAGTTCCTTTAGTGGTGTTGCAAACAGCAGCATTTGGAAAAGGGAAGAAGGCAGGCCTCGGGCCTTATTCAACTTCTCAGTTTTGTGACTACAACTTTGGCAAATGCTGGGCTCAACATATGTTGATATAAAATACATGAAAGAAAAAAATGATTTAAAGATGTTAGTCTATCCTCTTTTTAAGAATATTGATGCATGAAGATTCTGTAGTGTTATGCATGAAGATACTATATAGTATTTTTTCATCTAAAATAATGATGGTTAATTTCTTTTTTTTAAATTTAATTATTGTTCAAGTACAGTTTTCTGTCTTTTACTCCCATCCCAGCCCACCCCCCTAGGGCTCCCCACCTCCCTCCCATTTCCTACTTTTCTTGTTATGATTTTTATTTGTTAACTGGATTATTCTCGAAATAGTTTAAATTAATAGAGATCCAGGTTATTGTTGCATTCCATAAATATATTTTGTATTTGCCATCTGTATTGTGATTCTTTCTATATTTCTTAAATTGATTCATTCCCTGATTCATCAATATTCATAAAATAAAAATAGTTCTATTTTTTCTTTTTTGCTCAATCCCACCCACTGCACCAGTCCCCCAGACCTGTCAGCCTGCTCTCTATCTATGAATCTGTGTCTGTTTTTCTTGTTAGTTCAGTTTGTTCATTAGATTCTACATATGAGTGAAATCATATGTTCCTTGTCTTTCTCTGACTAAAAACAGTTCTATAATAAGGCTCTCAAAGCCATCAGGCAGCTAGTTACTCTGGTGCATGCGGATTGGCTGCTGACCTGAGCAGGTGGAGGGCAAGGGAAGTTCTCTTAGTCTTAGTGCAGTCATAAAATGAGACTTAAAGGAGCAACAGGTACAGCCCGTGAAGAAGGGAATGAGAAAAGGGTGAGAGAAGACTGTTCCCAGCAGAAGGAGAAACATGTATGTACAGAGGCCTAGAGATGCAAAAGAACATAGCTTGCTCAGGGAAATATTTTCTGAGTTGGTTATGATATTAAACATTTATACCCATAATCTCATCAGAGTATTACAGTTTGTGATTGTTCTTAATGAAATAGTTTTAAACTGATCAGAGTAACTGTTAAATATCAAATTTATGATTGTTTCTAATTTATCAAAGTGGTTTTCCAATTTGGTCCTGCCAGATTTATTTGGCCTAAGAACTTAGCATCATTCCTGTCCACAGGCACCAACTACATTGCCTTCATTCCTAATGTTGCTTCTGCCTAAGGTAATACCCTGAGGCGTGGCCTATAGAATACTAAGTGTAGGGCAGATTTATCAGTTATGAGTTATTTTGATCAATGTGATTACTCCAACTTAATAATTAAAGTTCAAATTAAAATCTCTCCCCCCTTCTGGCACAAAAATGAAATAGTTATGGGGGAGAAATTAGATAATTTTGACTCTGTTACTTCCTTTAGGCATTGGATCTACTGGTCAATGGTTAATATTAACATACTTCATGTAATTAATGTCAAGTTCCCTGATAAGCAGGATAATTTTTAATAATTAGTACTTTAGAAGGATGCCTGACATATAACCACATGTACCAAATATACTGACATTATTTCCCAGAGATTATATCAGAATAAATGGCTATCTATAACCTTCAGGTAGGAATCTGATTGTTATTAGGCTGTATGTATACATTAAATTAAATGTTTACTCTAGTTTTTAAATTTTTGACTATGTATGATTTTGAACATAACCAAGAGTAGATAGAATAGAATAGTCATCATCTAGCTCATAGGCAATCTTGCCCCGCACTCACCTGTACCCATCTACTCCCATCTTATTTTTGAAGTTTGTTCCAGGTATCATATCATTTCATCTAGGAATGTTTTAGTATATAACTCTAAATGAGAAGTAGCCTTTGTTTCCAAACAAAACTACAGTACCATTTTACTCCTAAATGAAATAACAATAATTTCTTAGCATTATTAAATAGTCTCTTGTTCTTAATTTAACTTTCTTTCTATAGTGAGATAGATCGATGGGGAGATAGTAGTTTTAAACTGGGGGTGATCTTCACCCAGGGGGACAACTGTCAGTGTCTGAGGACATTTCTGGCTATAACTGGTGGGTGCTACGGGCATCTAGTGGGTAGAAACCAGGTGTGCTGCAGCGCACATGGTGGCACGTAACCAAGAGTTATCTACTCCAAAATCTCCACAGTGTCACTGTGGAGAAACAGAGATGCTGGGGATAGGTAGATAGACGGGTAGACAGACAGACAGACATGAATAGTCGTGAAAATGGGCACAAGTTTATAAAGAAGAGAGACACAATATATCCATGCTATAAGGTCACTTTAGTGTAGCCATGCAAAGGACAAAATGGATTTATCACCGGAAAGATGATTCGTAATATGTAATTATTCCAATTGAAGTGTCCCATAAATCAAATGGAATTTTGTGATTTTTTTTAAAGGATGGAGAAAAATGGTTTAGTATTAATTAATGGTGTACTGTTTCAGGTGTGGGTGATAAAAGTACCAATGTTTCTTACGTGGGCAGCAGAGTCCAAGAAATGTACAGTGAATACAGGTAGAACACTAGGGAAAATAATTTTGAATTTGCTAAACAATAATCTGTCAGCAATGGCTTTTTTCATGTAAAATGATGCTATGAATGTTAATGCTTGTGACATTTTTAAGATGAAAATTGATATTAATTACTTTAATGCAGACAGAGCTATGCTCATTATTCTCTGCACAGACCCCTGGCAGTAATTTACCTAGCCATGCAGCAGTCCATGCAGATCAAAGCTGCATTATTTAAATGTGTCCAGGGGGCAGATTCTAGCTCCATGCCTTCTACTTTAAAGAAAGAATATATATTGCTTTGCTTCCTGAGAAACAAGATATGCTTAACTAAAATAGGTGCTTCATGCAAGTCCTACAATATTTAAACTCACTTTAATTCCTCCTATTTTCTGGGACAACACTCCCCCCCCTCCTCACTCAAATACTCTAAAATCTTAAGGGAGTACAGAATTACTCTGGAAATGCAAATTTTTTCAAGTGAACAGCAGTATATTTTCATGGAAGTTAAACCCTAATGTGAACTGGATTCAGGAAGGGAAACGGCAGAGAGAGAAAGTCTGTAGTTGCTACAGAATGTGCCTGGCTGCTTCAGCTCACAGACAACTGATGAAGTGCAACTCCGAAATTTCAGGCAATTTGTATATCAGGCTCCTCCTTTTCTGTAGTCTTCTCTTCCATTGGTAAAATTCTTTTGCAGGTCATGTAGGGATCCCACCCCTTCTCTGTGTTTTCACTCTGGAGCTCTACACAACTTTACACCTGAATGAACGCCAAACCTCAGGATATATAAAGGGAACCTTGAGGAAGAATTTCAGTTACAGAGCAGAGGCAGAAGGAAAGGAATTAACTAGCTCTCCAGCCAAGCAAATCCTCTACTCACCATGCTTCCTTCTGCCATTCATTTCTATCTCATTCCCCTTGCATGCATCCTCATGAAAAGCTGTTTGGCTTTTAAAAATGATGCCACAGAAATCCTTTATTCACATGTGGTTAAACCTGTTCCAGCACACCCCAGCAGCAACAGCACGATGAATCAAGCCAGAAATGGAGGCAGGCATTTCAGTAACACTGGACTGGATCGGAACAGTAAGTGTGTTTTACTTATATGGATTTTGTCTTTTCTGTTTTGGTAGCCTTTAGCTCACATTCTTGTAGAATTGTTTCTTTGCTAACTAACCTGAACCATATATATTTTGCTACATAATCTGGGAGTAATCTGCTGCATGTGTAGACTGGCATTCTTTCCTATAAAGTTAACATAACTGAAACAGTAATTTGATAATGTAGGCGCAGACTTAAGTTTTATCAAACACCCAAAGAGAAAATGTTTCCAGGAATTAAACTGTTGCTTCTTCATGTCATGCACAGTGAGAATTTTTTAAAAAGGTGTTTTTCTAGCTAGTTTAAATTCAGGTTACTTTCTGTTTATTTCAGAACATGTCCAATTCTGGTAAAGTGCATAAAGGTAACTAACCAAAGTATGCATAAGAAATCAAAAGAAAAAAAAAGACACTTTCTGGGAAAAAAATTGCTCACCATGAATTTCAAAAATATGCCTAGAGAAATAGTTGAAAGTTTTGATGATGATCAATGTAAAAGAGGAATAAAACTAAAAATGTTGGAGAACTATATTTTTCAGAGATAATTTCTTATTAACCAGATCGAAATTTAGGTAACTGGATATTTCTGTGAGAGACTGGGGAAGCTCTTATAACTTTAGAGATTTAAAATAATAATAATGCAATCATATATTATACAGGCAGCATGTTTCCCTTTTCTGTGTGCTTAGTGGGAGGGGTTTAAATTTCTTTCCCTAACTTTTGCTTCATTGCTTTCCTTGAGAAGAGTTCACATGCTAATAATCAGGTTTTAAGAGAGACCCAGAGAAACAGTGCACAGGAAATCTTACAAATCTTTTGCTCCTCCTCCTTAACTCCATTCAACTGTGAAAAGTAGTTTTGACCTTTGGAAAGTCAAAGCACATATGACTGTAAATGTCTAAGACAACCAAGATGTTTCAGCTTTCATAAAGATGGTTGCTTTTGTGTACACAGGAAATATCTGATTATTACTAGATTACTGAGCAATGTGGTGGGTATTCATTGTCAATGAACTGTCAATGAAAAAATGCTGAATCTCTATATATACAGGAACAAAAAGCTGGACAAGTCAAAATCATCTCCGGCTGTTTCCAGATGCATTCCTAAGGCAGCTGCAGGAAGGTGACCTGAAATGGGTCAGAAAGGAGAGCACACTGACCAGCTAGCCAGTGTACCTTTGAATTTTAATCTACCACTCTGAGGTGATACGAATGTGTGTGTACAGAGGTACATTTATCACAACTATCACAGCCCTTTGGGCGACATCTCCCACCTCAGTACGGGGGGCACGGAGATGAAGTAAAACTCCTAATTCACTACCTACTTCAAATCAGCTTTCACTGATCTATGCAAGGCCACTTCAATGTCCTTGATAATTTTTAACGTTTTAAATTTTAGCAGTTATACTTTTAAACATTTTTTCCTGGTTCACAAGCCTTGCTTTCTTTTCAAGCTTAACCAGGAAATTTTCCTCAAATTTAGATAACAAAGCAATGGAAAGGAAAATAAATATTTCAAGATTAATTTTTGTTTTAATTACATAAAGCAAGTAATAAGAAACAGTCAATTAGAAAACACTTATTCAATTCAAATAACTAAACAAAAAGTTTGCTATGACCAATATTCAGGAAATGAACACCGCGGTTCCTTTTGCAGTTGTAAATCAGACATGTTAGGCATTTTTCTGCCATAAAATTTATGGAAATGTAGCCAAGTTGTTATGGCAACCATACGTTCCTGATTTAGGGGCTTTTATATTCTTTAAATTTTCAGTTGTAGTGACATTTTGCATTAAAAACATTTTAATATTTGCGTTTTTAAAAGATAGCTTGGGAATTTATGTTTCAAGTGTAGTTAAGTTTGATATGCAAAATATCAGACTTTGTACACATATACTTGTATGATTCTTTGCAGCTTAATTTGATAATTGAAACAGAATACTACAGAGATAATATGCCTTATATAAAATACTTAAATACTTTCCATATTTTGTTAATAAATTAAAATAACTAATTAAAAGCAATTGTAGATGTAAACAAACATGACCTGTGAGAAAAAGAACATTAAAAATATACTCTTTTTTACACATTAATGTAAGAGTTGCTTAAACCATACTGAGGAGTGAGACTCAGAAAATGAGATTTTTCAAATACCCCAGTAAACAATTAGCTAATGTTATATATGAAAAAAATCAGTCCTAGTTTACTGTATTCTAAAAAAATATAGATACATAAACATGATTTTCATCAAAGTATCTCTATAACCAGATTTTTGCATTGTGGAAATAAAATAGATATTTCCTTTCTATTTGGCAATTTGCTATCATTTGTACAATATTTTTGTCATAGTAGATTCCTTGAGGAAAAAGTCCATTTGTTTATGCTTCTGATACACTTTCTTTTCTGCTTCCCGTAGCTCGGGTTCAAGTGGGTTGCCGGGAGCTGCGTTCCACCAAATACATCTCTGATGGCCAGTGCACCAGCATCAGCCCTCTGAAGGAGCTGGTGTGTGCGGGTGAGTGCTTGCCCTTGCCGCTGCTCCCCAACTGGATCGGAGGAGGCTATGGAACAAAGTACTGGAGCAGGAGGAGCTCCCAGGAATGGAGGTGTGTCAATGACAAAACGCGTACCCAGAGAATCCAGCTGCAGTGCCAAGATGGCAGCACGCGCACCTACAAAATCACCGTGGTCACTGCCTGCAAGTGCAAGAGGTACACTCGGCAGCACAATGAGTCCAGTCATAACTTCGAGAGCATGTCGCCTGTAGAGCCAGCCCAGCATCACAGAGAGCGGAAAAGAGCCAGCAAACCCAGCAAGCACAGCATGAGTTAGAACTCAGACTCTCAAAACTGGACTGACTGGTAGCCATCTGCTTTACAGATTTGATTGCTTGGAAGACTCAAGCCTGCCATTGCTATTTTCTTATTTGAAAATATATGCTTTCGGCTTTGATCAGACTCAGCAATCTGTCCGAAGTATCAGGACAGTCTTTGGGAATAGCTTTTCCTTTACAAGTTTTTCAAAATGTACACACATCCATGAGTGCAATTTGTATTTAAATTCCACACATTCTGTAGTTTGAATTCCCTGTGGTTCCTAAAAGACTGAGGATACTATATACATACAATATATTGAATAATTACTTTTTAAAACATAAAAGAGCTTCTCGGTTACCCTTCACTCCTTAACCCATGCCCCCTCCTCACTCAAAACTCCTCCAAAACTGAAAAGTCAAAAAGAAATTGTTGCCTTGAATCTTGACAATAACACTTCAGAAGGGTGCTTTTGTTTTTTGTAATCTTCATGGAGCAGTTGAGCAGCCATGAATGATCATCCTTTGAAAGAATGAAAGACCTTGTGACATTTCATTTCAAAAATAAGCCCTGTAGCTTTTTACAGTCTCATAGTATGAAATTGTACCCTGCATGCTGACCCTTGCTTGGAATGGAATGCCAGAAATGCATGGCAGCAGCTAATAAGGAAAGTTAATTATTTATTTGTCATTGTTATTATTTAATGAGCTTTCATGTGATTTTTTCAAAATGTAATTTTTTTATGTTATGAAGCTTTTTTTCTGTACCTAAATATTTTCCTGTATGATTTGTGGTTGATCTAGAAATTTGAGAATACACATTGTAGATATGTAAAATAAATATTTTAGTCTTCTTATGATATATAGGTTTCATCATGAACTTATCAATAGTATGGATCTTCTCAAATCAATAAGATGCTTTGTTAAGCTAAAACATGAAATACCTTCTTGTTTAATCTGTGCAATTAGAAGGCAATTTGCCCTTCAATTCCATCAGTTTCTTTTAACAAAATAAACACTGCTAAAAGTTACTGTCCTTGTCTCTAACATATATAAAATATACATGTTTATAAAAATTACAGAATAAGTGTGTCAAAGTAATTGATGTTTTTGATAAGGCACATTCAAGCTCTGACAGAAAGTTCTGTAGTAAGAGAGGAGAGTGGGAAAGGCAGACCAGCTTCTCAGTAAGTGGAATAATTGGAAAAGCTGGGAGGCAATCTAGCAATGAGTTGTCATGAGAATACCCAGAGATGCCAAGTCTGCTGCCCATTATAATCACCTGGGGAAGACATTATGGGATCCAGTGCCCAGGTTGCTATCCAAAATGCATCATAATTTCTGGGGGCAGAACTCAAATATTGGCAGTGTTTAAAGTTTTCCAGGTGATTCCACTGTGCAGCTAAGTTTGAGGAAGAAACTGTGAAGAAATCACTATCATATGTTGGGGAACTTTGAATACTACTGCATAGCCCACAAATGAAAATATAAAATAAAAACAAAAAAAACAAAAAATAAATTTTTTAAGTTTGACATATTATTATATTAAGCAACATAATCATAGTCTTGAGCCAGATTGTACAGGTAAATGACATGTATCAATTCAATCAAATGATTGGTCCCATCACTCCAAATAAACAAAACCAAAGAGGCTTGGTTATATGACGATAAGATCTCCTGGGTTTTCCGATTTGGGGTCCTGACCATGAAGGAGTGCTTAGTACATTTTTGCAGTAGATTATTGTTTTTGTAAATACTAGTCTAAAAGTCATATATTACCTATAGCATACTAAGCTAAATAAGGACATTACTATTTTTTCTTCTCTGCGAGAGGTAGGAACACACTGAAAGACAAGCAAACATCTCTAGATTTTATAATAATACTATTTGTATCATCAAATAAAATAAAGCTTCATAGTCTACTACTGATTTATCTTCCCATCTCAATAACTAAGATTTTAAACTATTTCATATTTTGTCATATATTAATGCATGGAATATTCATGATAATTATAGCATAGGTTGAATATACCAAAAATATAGTATTCCATATATCTATTTTATTTATTATTGCTCAATACAGTATAGGTGTATTTAATGTAACACAGAAAACTAAAAACAGTTTAGCTATTTATTCCTTCTCAATAAGAGATCACCTTCTATAGAAGGCGTTAAGAGATGACCTCAAAAATTAGTGTGTCCTAAGATCTGAGGCATAAAAAGGATTTGAACTGAAAAGGCTTTTCACAATCAAGGAGACTCTGTTGTTGCCTTTTACTTACAAAACACTGAAACAAAGTTTTTAGTGGTAATAAAATGCTAAAATCATCACTGATTTGATTGCTAACAGTGTTTTAGTAAACGAATGTACTAGAAAAAATAAAAAACAAAACAAAAGAAGACACATAAGACTCTGTTAAGTCAAGAACTGGATCTTTTTCTCATGGTCACATTCAATGCACTAATCTATTTCAGGCCATGTTGTGTTGCTGATGTATTTATTGCATGGTAATTAACATTAAATGAAAGGGAAAGGCTAGCAATTAATAAGAAAAGGCCAGGATAAAATCAGGCACTCAGCGAAGTAAAACTTAAAAATTAACAGAAAGGGTAGCTTTGTGATTACTATTTAAAAATACTAAAAAGCACTTGCACCTGTGTTGATATTTCCCTTTTTTTTTTAGTTTAACTCACATGTTCCAATTGTTTAAACTCTGCATAATTTTATTCTCACCTTAGTAACCATCATTTTAAAATGGTGAATTGTGATAATTTTAGCAGTTACCTCCAGTTTACATTCATAATGTTTATCTATAAAGGATTTGCTTATTAAATTTATTTTGGCTTCTGTGGATAAAGGACTTTTTCAAGTGGCTTGATAGATAGAAGGTAGTTAGATCGGTAGGGAGAGATAGATAGATTGATATTGATATGTATAGCTATTTTAGATATATAGATAGATGTATATATTATGTAGATAGATGTATATATTATAATAATAATAAATTAATAGCATCTATACAAATACATAGCGTATATAGTGTGCTATAAATAAGCTAAACATGAACATGAGGCTTTATAGAAATATCTCTTTGTAAAAATATTTTATTTACAAAGTATATTTATTCATTTATTATAGCTACAAATAACCACTAATTGGCAATACTCTGTTAGCTATGTTTATTTTACTGTATATTTTTGAAAGGCAATGAAAATTAGTTTTTTAAAGTAATATTCAGTCTTTTTTAATTAAGACAGTCTTAATCCATCTGTGTCTACATTAAATTAATAAGGTTTTACCAGGAGATCTAGATGTTTTATTCACCCAATGCTACTAGAATATTTCTTTTTATTACATTGTATGCTCTATCTAGTTAGCGTGATATTTACTTTAATAGACACTCAGTAGACTGATGTCTACTGAGACAATTATGAGCAGAAAGAATAATACTTTGCTGAAGCGAAACCATGAAACTTCCAAAGTGCTGACTAAAATAAAAGCCTTTGAAAGTTTAAATTTAGTATGCTGCAATAGTTTTCTTTTGTGTTTTTTTTTTGCAACCATCATGAAATTTAGGTATCAAAATCTAACTTTTTATACTTGGAATTAAAGCATCATTTGGATTAGTCTTAATTCTTGAAAGTGTTTTTGGCACTAAAGTGGAAATTCACTGCATACCCTAAATTGAGCATTTATGAGTATAGTCAGATAAATCTAATACAAATGAAATGCATGTCAAGTGTTTGATGGAATCCTTATAGAAACCCAGAAGGATTTCAGTATGAAATGACTGAAGATCCTCAGTGTTGGAGTGCATTCTCTTGTTCGAATGTTTCCTTCCCTCGAGGGCAGACAGAGATGACGTCCATCTTGGTTTCATCAGAACCTATTAACATACAGCTCTATGTTGAACTGAATGAGGCTAGATTTGTCAACTAAGTAGACATTTGGCCACTAGAAGTTTTTGTCACAGCTACAGGAGATACCCACAAGAATAGATATCCCCCAAATCATTCTTCTTGTCAGTACCCCTTTTTTTGTGTGTGTGTCCCTGGGTGAGTTCGAGCCAGTTATCATTTAAAATTTTATTATTTGTCCTTCATTCCTGACTCCTGAGCTAATGTAGCAATTAGTCCTTTTGCCTGCATATTTTGTAACTTGTCTAGATGAGCTACAGAGTAACAACTATTGTAGAAATCCCAGTGGGAAGATGTTTTGACTTCCAGGTTCAAGAATTGATTAAAATGAATTAATACCAAGTTGACTGCATCATTATTTGCAGTGCAACTTAGACTGAGTGATAGTTTATCATCTGCATTGGCAGACCTGCTGAATGATTTATTTTCTGCTACAAATAAAGACTGAATCAGTGGGTAAGATTTATAAAGGAACTTAAATATTTTCCTTTGAATTTTAGTAACTGCAAACCAACAGTTACCTTGCATCATTGATCTTATTTTTCAGAGGTAGGATTAGGTGCTTGAATTTGAGGCAGAATGTCCAAAGTGACATAATCAGTGACAAAGCCATACTCAGCCCAAGTTCATCATTATTATAGCCAAACAAGAGTTTGATAGACTTAAACATAATTTACTATAAAAATACAGCATCATTTTTTCAGTAGCAATAAAGCCCTTTTTGAAATTTATCCTTACATTCACATAAATTTAAAAATCTTTTACATTCTAACATTGGCAAATTTTCACAAAATCATCATCTGAGTCCTTCACTCACTGAGGTGTGAACCTAGATTTGGTGTTAAAGAAAGTCTAAAACACTGAGTCAAGTAGCCTAGGAACTGGGACATTTCAACAATCCTTTGAAATCTTTAATCAACACTATATATTAAATAGTTGGAAATTTTTACTTTATGGAGCTTTCTGTGTATTTGTTTGCTTTCTTACTTTTTATAGGTTGTTGATAAAGTATTTCCTCTGTGTGTTTGTGGTATTTTTAAAAATTTCTCAAGCTTAGAGAACTTAAATAACAATACAAAGAACACAGAACAACTCTTTCTTGCCACAAGTTTCCTTATCACAAAACAAAGACAATAATTGCCAAATGCATTTAATAATGGCCCTGTTTGTTGACACTATCTTTCCTAAGAGTTGATTTTGTCTACGTTGACTACTAATTAATAAACTTTTTACATTTAATCTGTGACTCAGTTTGACATTTTAAGAGTAATAATAAAATTTTCAATTTGACTCATCTGCAATATTTTTAAAATCCTCACTTGAGGATATGCTTATTGATTTTAGAAACGAAGGAAGAGAAAGAGCAACATTGATGTGACAGAGAAACATCGATTGGTTACCTCCCAAATGCACCAGAACTTGTGACCTAACCCACAATCCAAGTATGTGCCCTGACCAGGGAGTGAACCCGCAACCGAAATATGTGCCCAGAGAGGGAATTGAATCCACCACCCTTGGTGTGTGGGATGATACCCCGACCAGATGAGCCATGAAGCCAGGGCTCATCTGCAGTATTTTATGTAGCAATTATATATAAGTGACTTCAAAACCTGAACTTGAAAACAAGAACTGAGCTATGGTTTAGAGAAGATTGTGCTGCTACCAATTATTTGGGTGAACTTATGCTTGTGTCTAAAGCTTCCTAAGGCTCAATTACTTTACCCATAAAATAAGGGAGTTGAACTAGATACTGTTTAAAGTATCTTTCAGACTAAAATACTCATGTTCTTTCATCCAAAGCAACATGTCGTGTTTTGGTCACACTGACACCCCAAAGGCAGATCTGACTAATGCTGCTGTCTACTCCTGACCATCTTTCCCATTCACTCAATCGTGGAATTTCAGAATAAGATTTTGGTCAGGCATATTATGGAATAGAAATATTCCATCATAACAAATACGTGGTTAAAGCAAACAGTGTAAAATGAAATTAGAAATCCAGCTTCAGGAGAGCTGAGAAAGTAGCCTGTTTTGGGGCATTTCCTAGATTTTGGTCAAACTTCAGCAAACACCAGGAAGATGTTAAGGACCAGGATAAAGATATTAGAATTTT